ACTCTCTTTCCCACTCACTCTCACTCACTCACTCTCTCCCACTCACTTTCTCTCACTCATTCTCTTTCTCACTCAATCTCTCTCACTCACTGGCTCTCTCTCTCACACAATCACACCCTCACCCACTATCTCTTTCTCTCACTGACTCTCTCTACCAAACTCACACCCACAATCTCTTACACTCACATACACACTCTCTCTCTCTCTCTATCTATCTATCTATCTATCTCATCCTTTCTTCTTTCTAAGAACACACCTGATTACGCACACTCAAGCATATTGCCAAAATAAACAAAAATCACAGTTTCCGCAAAGATCATTTTTTTTCTTAATAAAAAAAGGGAAAACTTGAAAGCAGCCTTATTTAAAATTCTGAATGAATTCTGCAAATCGAATTGATGTTGACTCTAAAAGTTGGTTTCAAACTCAAGGCACGCGTCTTTCTCAACTTAAATCACTGGCATACATCTCCGCCCTTATGAACGAATGTCGTTGTCGATCGTAAACTTGTCACATTAAAAATCTCTACAACTTATTCTTCGCTTCATTCGTAACCACCTTTTTAAATTATTTATCTTGGATTTTTCTTTTTTTCTCTCTCTGTCTTTCTCTCTGTCTCTCTCGCTCATACTCTCTCCCTCACCCACGCTCTCTCTCTCCCTCACCCATGCTCTCTCTCTCTCTCTTTATATATATATATATATATATATATATATATATATATATATATATATATATATATATAAAAAAAATAGCATATATATATATATATATATATATATATATATATATATATATATATATTTTTTCTTCAACGGTCTACAAAGGTGAAATGTTGGTGACAAAATTGCTAATAAGGACTGCCAAGAAATATTGGTTTCGCCAAGAAAGATTTTGAGAAAGTGAGGAAAATAATGGTGGATAATTTACATACAACGTTAAAAAATAAAATGAAACTGAAGGAACAAAAAGAGAGAAAAAATGTCAACTCTCATTCACAATCGAAAAGAAAAATATTTCCGTCTATTTGCGCATAGAACTTTATGGAATTTCTAGGGACTGTGTAGGCATGCATACACAAATATGCAAATCATAATGATTGAGTATATGATAAGAACAAGCAATCCAAGAAATGTAAGAAAATTTCATTAAAACCAATCAATTATGACAGACATGGCTACTTGGCAAATTTCACCTTCATCTTTATTGTTTTTCATCAAAATGTTTTTTTTAAGCCCAGAAGATTCTCTTACCATGTAATAAAAATTCATTCCGGCTGATTTTGTTCACACCTTTTTTTCTTTAGACACAATATCTACGAATTGTCCTCAGGTACCTGTCACATTACGAAATCATCATGGAGTCTAAGAACAAAACCTGGCTTATTTTTCATTTCCCTAATAATAATCAACTTCCTTATTGTATTACAAATGCATGGCCTTTTGCAGAGAAAGCGTTGGTTATAAAACGATTCGAAGCCCACTGACGACACCTTTTTTTTCCCCGATAACACGCATGGAACAAAAGATGAGCGGCTGGTGTCATGGAGAGAGCGGCTCAGACTGAGAAATCATAGAGCCGAGTTCGAATTCCAGTCGAGTTCATTAAATTCATTTACACGCAAATAAAATTGGGAAAGGTAATAATCCGTCTCTCTAGATTAAATAAAAAACCAAACTGGGATTTCTAGCCACAGTTGGCAGCCAATCTAGAAGGACGAGTTTGAATTCGAACCAAAAATTTTCTCCATAATCGCCAACCTTCATTAAAAAAAATCCCGTTGAAACCAAAAACTGCTTCACTTATTAATACTTCATATATTAAAATTTTATTTGCGAAAAACGATGCGATTATCCAATTTTTTCTTTATGATTTGTTTTAATCTGATCAATATTAACGCAGTTAATACAAAAACAAAGCAGTCTAAACCCGTTCGTGGCTAAATACGAGTTGTGAGAAGAAAATTCTAAATTTTGTTGAAATCATATTTAATAAATAAAAGGCGCTAATCCTAGAGTAATTTCAAACAAATGGAGTTCATAATGACGGTGAGAGCATTAAGATAATTACTGATGATGGAGTTAATTAGCGGAGGGAAATCTAAAAATGCAAATTTCTCTCTCACTCTCTGTTTGTGCGTATGCATGAGTGCGTGTGTGTCTATATGCACACGCACATACATATATACAACAATTAATTACATCTAGCCAATCCAACTGAAGATAATTATGCCGTGATCAATGTAAAGCCAGGTGTGATACTGGCATATCTAAATGGTTTACCATCTATAAATGCCTCATGACTCGTGAAAGCCAAAGCAGCAAAGAATAAAAAAATAATGCTTAATTCAGATCGTATACTTTTAAATGTGTCACCAGAGTGGATTATTTGTAAGACTACCGAATGTTTTAGTGGTTGTTTTCGATTAACGCGCAAATAAACGAACGCTGTCTAATGACAGGAAAATGTGATAGGCATGAAAAGATTTACATTATTCGGACTATTGTCCTCATCTTTGTCGCCATATTTATTACAACGTTTCGGCCGCTGTACGCTCCGGCCTTCTTCAGGTGGTTGGAATGTCGAACGGAAACCTTTTATTTCGCTCACACTGTCGAACTGAACCCTTTATTGAATTCATACTCCTTAAGGACCCATGGCACAGTGGATAAAGGCGTTGGTTATGTCTCGTGACGGGGCCCAAAGAGTATAAGTTCAATACCCGGTTAAGGCAGTGGAGAACTTTCAGAGGGAAATTAATAGGAGATAACTGATAATTGACACCCATTAGACATGACCTGTGGAACTAGAACAGTCTACCCCAGTGAGCGAAATAAAGGGTTCATATCGATATTCCAACCACCTGAAGAAGGCCAGATCGTACAACGGCCGAAACGTTGTAATAAATATGGCGACAAAGATGAGGACAATAGTCCGAATAATGTAAATAATGTACATAATACCTCATCTCAGAAATATAGACAGATACTGAAAGGCCGAAACGTTGTGATAAACATGGTGACAAAGATGAGGACAATAGTCCGAATAATGTAAATAATGTACATAATACCTCATCTCAGAAATATAGACAGATAATGAAAAGATTTTCCAGTTACGTATTCCGTGCTTCTTCACAAAGATTGTTATGCATTATAACTATATATCAGCTGATTTTTCGTCATCAAAATACTTTCTTTTTTCTCTGGCAAACACTTCATGATGTTTTTTTTTCTTCGCTTCATGTCTTTTAAAGTTGTCTTAAATTGGAGACCATGACATATCAATGGCTTGAATAAAAATTATGTGGGGTTTTAGGTGAAAGTGAGAATTATTTTTTACCCTTTTTTTTTACCTTTTTTTAGCTTTAGTATCCATTTTTTGTTGGTTATTCTTATCTTTTCTTAAAAAAAATTAAACTTTCCGATTGTTTCATTTAATATGGAAACAAATACACAAAATTTAAATGTTAATCATGTAGAAAAATTCCGTCATCTTAAAGTAATGTCACAAATTTTCCTAATTCAATTTTAATCTCACGTAATTGCGGAACAACGACAGTAATTCATTCCGACCGAATGATTTCAGATAACGGAACAGCCATAGTAACTCCCTCCGAATATTTTGTATTTTTTCTACAATGTTTAACTTTATAGTTCTTGTATTTTTATCTCAAATTACGTTAATTCACAGTTTAATTTCGAGTTTTTTCATCATGAACTCAGATGAAGCTGTTGATAAGTATAAAACATGAAGCTGCTTAGAGGCACTTCCTTTAACAAAATAATTAAAAGACGTAACAAATATAGAAAAAAAGATTCTCTATATGTATTGTAACTTTTTACATTATTTACATTGTTCGGACTGTTGTCATCATCATTATTGCTATATTCAAAACATTTCGGCCGTTCTACCCTCCGACCTTTTTCAGGCGATATATGTTAGAATTTCAAACCGAAGCCTTTATTTAATCCTCAGAATTAGATTGGTCTTGTTCTACGTGTCATGCCTTTTTGAATATTATAGTATCAGTTAATTCACTTTAGTAACTCAACTCTCCGGCATTTTCCCTCTGCTGTAGCCAGGTATTGAACCCTACTTTTTGTGTCGAGTCACTTTTTGGATTACTCAACTAATGCTTTTATTCGCTGGGTACGTAGAACTAGAAAAATCCGCCCCCCCCCGGGACTAGATAAAGAGTTCGGTTCGAAATTCCAACATGTATCAGTGAGACGTTTCATCATATTAGGCTCAGCACACTTGAAAAATTCTGCTTGAAGTCCATCATTACCAGGTCACTTTCTAGTATTCAGTTTTTCAACAGCAGCTTCAACCTCCTCAAGAGAATCTGCCAGAACTTTAACAGGTCTATTGGGGATGAACTCTAGATCAACGTCAGATTGTCTATTCAAAAGCTCATCAAAGTGTTCTCTCCATCTGTGGAGAATATCCACAGGGTCCTGAAAAAGCTCCTTACCATCCTTTGAATGCAAAGGCATGATAGGAAAACATGATGATCCATACACTTCATGCAGAAGGTAGTACAGCAATTTTGTGTCATTAGTGTTGGAGACAAAAGCTGTATTTCGCCAGTCTTATTCCTTCACCAAGAGATCTGCATGATACGTAATTTTCGCTGCACATCAACTTTGAACTCGGCCATCAATTTTTCATGTTCATCAGATGTTTGTCTACCTTTCAGCACGGCATCTAAGGCTTTCAATTTAGTATCCAGTAAGAGCTGAATCTCAGTGTCATTCTCATCAGACCAGTAACGATGGTTACACTCACAATGTCCTAACAGCTTCTCACAGGCTTCATAAACAGATGACTTGAAAGCATCCCATGTGTTTTCATAAAGAATGCTTTCCATCGCAGTTACAAGCTCTTCTTTCACCATCACGTTTAGGAATACTGACACCAGCGCACCTCGTTTTCGGTTTTCCGTAGCAGGTTGACGACTGGTCCCAGGCTGTGGCACCCTGGAACACCTGCCGTGCCAGATGCTTCAGCAACTAGTCCCAGAGCCCTTATTGCCATTGATGCCAATATCATCAGAGACCTTCATTGAATGGGTTTGCCTTTTTTTGGCTACGGCCAGCCTCTGTGTCAAAACACAGTAAGGTTCTGAAGTCTTCAAGCAATGTCTGTGCGTGATGTTTTTTTAAGTGAATGAAGACTTTGCACAAAACCAAACCCTCTCTCTGAGCGACTGATAACTTGACCCAAAAAGAAGAATAAGTCTACATCATTGGATGTAGCAGACTCCACAGGTGTTATGTCAGAGTTTTCATTCTCTTCTCTTTCTTAGATGATACTATCCAGGGTTAGGATGGACCTGGGAACAATTAAAGCATGGTTCCACGCTCCTCAAAACCTCCTGTTCAGAGGCCTTGCAGTTGGATGTAGTTTAATGTATTCATACAAGTCTCTTTCGAACACAGACAGAAAGAGAGGGCAGTGTTTTTCAAGTGATTGAAATACCATTCACCCATCATCTAACATGAATTTTGTCAACGTGAGATCCTTTGTAGAATTTGTGTGAAAATGTTTCCCATAAAATGTTGCTATACGTATCCCTGGCTTGTTAGTGCGATTGTCAATAACTTTTAATCTTGCACGGTGAATACTAGACCTGGCTTCTTTAGTATTTCCCCTTTTCTAGCAAGATTAATGCTCGACAAGCGTACATATAAATTTTAGATCAAAATAGAATTCTTTTCATTTTTCATTCAAAATATTCAAATTTTAGGAATACGTTTTCACAGCGTCGCCCACGTGACGACAACGTGACCATGTTTTAAACGGAGCGCTGATCTTATAAAACTTTCAGTTATTTGTTTGGATAAGTCTTGTTCTTATGTACATCGTCTTTGTCATATTGTATTGATAATGTTATAATTTATGAATATGTCCTGAAGATGGTTTATTAGACCGAAACGTCCGACGTTGACATATTAACATTAAAACAGTATAAATTGTATATAAGGATTTTTGTTTGTTTTCTCCGTATATATTTTTCTTCATATATATATATATATATATATATATATATATTAAAGACATTTTTATGTTTAACGTTGTTATTTTATAAAAATGTCTTTAATAAATAAATTGTCGGACCTTGTCCATTTCTTAACATATATATATATATATATATATATATATATTAATGTATTATGCATCACTTTTCACAAAAATAAATTGGTATCAATCGATATTTGTGAAAAATTCAGGATATACTTATCTATATGTTAAATAAAGATTTACAATAACTTATTTGGTGGTTTGAGATCGTATTAAGCAAATCAAGACTTGTTCATCATATTGTAAATAAATATATATTTATATAATTTTATAGTTATTGATACTTGTTTTGATTTTTTATATTTCATATCTGTAAAGATTGCCGTGATATGTAAGATATAATCTCAAAAACGATATAAGCGATTATAAATTTATATAGTCATGGAAGCATAACCTTGGAAATAGCAAATACGTTTACCAAAGGTCAGAGAAAACATCAAAAATGTAACTGAAATCCCCAACAAGAAAGAGAAAATTCCGGCTTAAAGAATATTGCAAAAAGAGAACTGATAAAAATTAAAAGATTACTAAACAAAAAAAATGATTTGAGTTGAAAGAATATATTTGAAGTAACGTGTTGTAAAAATGAACGAGAAAAGATGTAGAAAATTGAGATCTTTAATGGAGTACATGAAAGCCACCAAATTGACAGATTTAAGTAAATATTGCTAAGAGAAAAGTTTAAAAATGAAAAACAAGATTCAAAATAAAATCTTGAGGAAGCAATAAAAATAGCTGCAAGTCATGTTAAAGTTAACTGTAAAAAATTAGAGTCAATCGCTGAAAGATTATTAAAAGTTAATGAATGGCAAAGATTCCATATTAACATGTTACATAATAAAATAATTACTTCAGGTACATGAGACATTGTGTCTATCAAATCTACATTTTATTGCTTCTATCTTTTAAAGTTATTTCTAAATAAAATTTAGGCTACACTATATTTGCATGTGACCCCCCCCAAAGGTTATTATTAACACATTGAACAGGGAAAGAAATTAAATGTTGAAACTTACACAAAATATTTGGCATGTGGATCGGGCGATTAATACTAGTTTTATTGTGTAAACATTGACTTGAATAATAGATTATAGCATAGTGCGTATATAAGGATGAATACATATTTAAAATGGATAGATAAAACAGAGAAAGAAAGTCGACTGAGTCTATATAAAAGACACTTGTAAAGGCCGGAATAATTTGAATATTTCAATCGATGATGATCTGTAAGCGGATACACTTACCTGGGTTTAGCCAATAAATAATGAAAGAAAAAAAGAAAAATTTATGACGCAAATCTTTAAACTTTCGGTAACTAATAAGCCTGTTAATAACGTGAATAGGAAATAATTCATATCAAAATAAAAACTCTACCAGTAGTTTTAGATTTAATAAAGAACTACATTTACATTTCTCTAAAGCAATAATTACTATTATTAAACCTTATCATGTTCAGCAGTCTCAAGAGCAAAGCCATCTGCAGTTCCGACACCTCGAGGGCTTCCCATGCCGGTTAAGGTCGAAGAGGAAAAACCAAACTGAACGCGACCACCACCCCCGAAGACCCCCAACGGCCAGACGGACGGAAGAGGGCAGCGCAAGTCGGGGTGGCGTAGCCAAGGCTGACCTTGACAGACCAAGAATTCGACAGCCTCAGTGCAACCAGGTTTGCCAGATCTCGCCTGTATCAATTCCTTTGAGCTACGAGGAAGGCGCTTCTGGCCAAGTGTGTGTGATTCTCTCTCCCGCAGAGTTGTTCACACGAACATAGACTTCTCCGCCAACGACACCAGGGGAGAGAAAAGAAATACATTGACGATCCCGATGCTCGGATGCGAGCGGGTGCTAACACCACGACAAATATAAAAGCACTGGGGTTTTTTTTGTTGTTTTTTTAGTATTATTTCTTACTGGTGCGTTGTTTCGTTGAAAATTGCAAGGTTTGGTGGGTTGTCGGGTTTATGGAGAATAAGTTTTGTTTGATTATACTGACTGGGTGGTTGGAGAATGTGCGAATGTAAAGTGATTTGTCGTTTGGTTTCCTGTATGATTGATCTATACGACTGTGGAGGTTTAAAGTGACATCTCAGAGGTTTTTACCACTTTTTGTTTTGTTTCAATTTCGATTTCTAATCATGTTCCTTTAAAAAGTATTTTAATATCATTCGTAATTTTATCTATATTTTGTCCGTTGTAATTTCTTAAGATTATAAGCCCATCAGTCCTGTATAATCCTATATCATTTTATTAATAATCCAGACAGGTGTGTGTAGTACCTATATTCCGGCAGCACCATCAGTGATATTAAGTACATTCCCCACATAAACTGATACACACGCGCGTATATTAACGTATATGATATCTAGTAAATATAAATAGATTCTAGTAGGTCAAATTTGACTGCATTTAAATGTAAATATATATATATATATGTATATATTTAAAATATATAGAATTGAAAATATGTGAAATTTGTAGTTTAAACACAGTAATTTAAACTTGTTAACCAGACGCTTCCTCTGTAGCTAAATGACATAACACGTCGGGCTATAGACGTTTCCGTGTAGGATACAAGTTCTGTTCTTGTCGGAGGACAGATATTTTCTTTGAGATTTCCCGGACATTCAGGCCGGTAAATGTTGTTAATATTGTTTATTATAGACATAACATTTCTTAAACATTTGTATCTGTAATATATATATATATATATATATATATATATATATATATATATATATATATATACACGCACATACATACATACAAATATGTGTGTATGGCAGTTTTTAAATCATTTATAGTTAGGAATTATAGAGATATTATATTTAACGATAAGTAGGGAGGTATGTAGGTAGGGATGTACGTATGTATGTAGGTAGGAATATACTGAGAGAAAGAGAGAGAGAGATGAATAGACTGAGAGATGAAAGCCTGAGATAAACAGAGAGTGGGGAGAGAGAGAGACTGATATAAATAGCGACACAGTTTCTATTTACCGTTTCGGTAACATTCCGATAAGACATTTACGTGGCTGGCGACAATCACGCATAAAACAGAAAACATCTCAAATTCCTCTTTCTAACATGACTAGAGGTCGAGAGACGGATTTTTTTTCCCTGCCCAAATGACTAGAGCTGAAATAACAAATCGTTTTCATTGATTTCTTTTGGACATGAAGCTTAGATTCACAGAAAAAAATCCTACAAAAAGAAGTAGAGAAACACCTAAGCAAACAGTGTCATTAAAGCAAATCTCTTTGTCCAATTTGAAGACGATATTTTATTCCTTCTTTTACATCACATAATTTCTAATTCTTGTATTAAATATTTTAAATGTTAATTTGTTTGTAAATTATGAATATATATATATATATATATATATATATATATATATATATATATATATATATATGTATGTATGTATGTAAGCAAATATATGGATATAGATCCGACAGTATGAAGAAAAATATATACGGAAAAAAACAAACAAAAATCCTTATATACAATTATACTGTTTTAATGTTAATATGTCGACGTCGGACGTTTCGGTCTAATAAACCATCTTCAGGACATATTCATAAATATAACATTATCAATACAACATGACAAAGACGATGTACATAAGAACAAGTGTGATATATTTATGGCTTAATGTGCTCAATATCGTATGTAAATATAAAATGGGACATTGAAGTCAACATCCATATGCGACAATTCGATTCATGCTAAACGCAATCATCAGGACTGATGATTGTGTTAAAGCCTTGAATATAGCAGTGTTCATAATACTGTTTTAAAGAATAGTGGTTAAAAGTAAGCTGAAATCAAGTATAGAAAATATGATGATAGTGGTCTAAATAAAAGAAATAGAAATAGAAGAGTTATAACTATCGAAATATATATTCGACGCTGCAATCATTAACAAAGAAAAGATAGAATCCTGGAGAGAAGAACTCGTAAGGCAAATACAAATAAAAGAAAAGATAGAATCCTGGAGAGAAGAACTCGTAAGGCAAATACAAATAAAATCACAAAAGAAATTATGAAATTTTTCAAGGATTCTAAATTGACATTAAAACAAGGATTCTAAATTGGCATCAAATCAAATTAAAAAGATGCATACTTTTTATATGTAACATTCAACCTCAAAAGGCATATGTATCAATTATACAGAAAAACAAGTGACAAACACGTTATATCTACACTTCCTTCAACCACACATCCTGCATAATCATGTAAAACCCATTATCTATCAGCCGAAAAAAAAAATCAATGTAGCAAAAAGCGAGTATGAAAAACATTGGTTTTCTCGGCTAAACCTACATTTAAGCCGAACTGAATAAAAGAATCTAACAGAAAAAGAAACTTCATATGAGTCGACACAACGTTTAATAAAAATGAAATACAAATACGTATAGGTAAAATATTCATCAAACACCGAAAAACACTTCCAAAAACCAAGTTGTATAAAATATCCAAGAAAATTACTCTGAAACTTGGCTATAGCTGTACCTAAAGCATCCTTCCTTCCTTCCTTCCTTCCTTCCTTCCTTCCTTCCTTCCTTCCAAGCAAGATTCTTTCTTTCTGTCCATCTTTCCTTCCTTCCTTTTTTTTTCCTTCGTTCCTTTTTGTTCTTTTTTTCCATCTTTCCTTCCTTCCGTCCATCCTTCCTTTCTTTCCTTCTGTGTTTTCTCTCTTCTGTCTTTCGATCCGCCAATCCTTCATTTCTTTCCTCCGTTCTTCTTCCTACCTTCCTACACAACTTTCTTCCTTCTTTCCTTCCTTCCGTCCGTCTTTCCTACCATCCATCCTTCCTTTCATCCGTCCTTCCTTATATCCTTTCTCTATTTTATCTTTGGTCCTACTGCACTTGTTCTTTCGTTCGTTTCTTACTTCTGTCCTCACTTCCGTTCTTTATTCCTTCTGTCATCATTCTTTCCTTCCTTCCTTCTTTTCTTCCTTCTGTCTTTGTTCCTTCTTTCGTCCTTTCTACTGTCCTTTCTTTCTTCCTTATTTCCTTCCTTCCGTCCTTCTTTCCTTCCTCTCATCCGTCCATCTTATCTTCGTTACTATCGTTACTTCCGTCATTCCTTCTTTCTGTCATTCCTTCCTTCTATACTTCCATTCTTCCTTTTTCCCTACGTTCCTCCCTTCGTTCCTTCCGCCATCCTTTTTTCGCTTCTTCCTCACTTACTACCGTCCTTCCTTCCGTTCTTTCTTCCTTCTTTTCCACCTTCCGTCATTCCTTGCTTCCGTCCTGCCTTCATTCCTTCCGTTCATTCTTCCTTACATCCTTCCTTCAGTTTGGCCACCCTTCCATCCGTCCTTCCTTCCTAACTTCCTTCCTTCAGTCATCTTTTTCCTTATTTCCTTCATTCCTCCTCCTCCTTTTCTTCTTTCCTTCCGTCCATCCTTCCTCTTCTTTCTTTCCTTCCTTCCGTCTGTGCTTCCTTATACCTATCCTTCCTTCCATCGTTCTTTCTATCCGCCTTCTTTCGTTCGTTCCTTACTCACTTGCATCCTTCCTTCTATCCAGCCTTCCTACCTTCCTATCATCCTTTTTCCTTCATTCAGTCCGTCTTTACTTCCTTCTGTCATCAATCTTTTCTTCCTTCCGACCTTTATTCCTTCTGTCCTCTTTTTCTTCTTTCGACCTACAGTCCTTTCTTTCACCTACTTTCGTTCTTTCCTTCTGTCATTCTTCCCCTCCTTCTGTCCATTCTTCCTTCCGTTCTTACTATACTTCTTCCCATCATTCCTTCTTTCTGTAATTCATTCCTTCTATCCTTCTATCCGTCCTGCTTTCCTGCTATCCTCCCATTCTTCCTTCTTTCCTTCCTTCCGTCTTTCCTTTCTTCTTTACTTTCTTCCGTCCTTTCTTCCTTCTTTCCGCCCTTCCTTCTTTCCTTCTTTCGTTCTTTTCTAGCGTCTGTCCTTCCTTCCTTCTTTTCTTTCTTCGGTTCTTCTTCCCTATGGTCCTTTCTTCACTCTGTCCTGCTTTTCTAACTTCCGTTCATTCTTGTTTCCTTCCCTCCGTCCTCACTTCTGTCTGTCCATCATCCTGTGCTCATTCTTTCCTTCCTTACTTCCTTCATTCTGTCCTTTTTTCCTCCTTTCCATCCTTCCGTATGACTTTTCTTCTTTCCTTCCTTCCTTCTTTCCTACCTGCGTCCTTCCTTCCAACTTTCCTTCCAACGTTTATACCTTCCATGCATTATTCCATCCTTCTGTCCTAACTTCCTTCCTTCAGTCCTTTCTTCCTCCCTTCCTTCTTTCCTTACGTCTGTTCCTCTTACCTGCCTTACTTCTTTCTTTCTATCCCTCCTTCCTTCTTTCCTTTTGTCTTTTCTTCCGTCCATCGTCCTTTCTTCCGTCCGTACTTTGGTCCTTTCTTCTGTCTTTCCTTTCTTCCTTCTTACCTTCCTAACATCCTTCCTTCCTTCCTTCGGTCCTTTCTTTCTTCCTTCTTTCCTTCCTTCAGTCTTTCCAACCTTTTTCACTTCTTTCCTTCTGGCATTTCTTGCGTCCTCCTTCCTTCCATCCTCCTTTCCTTACTTCCGCACTTCTTTCTGTTCTTTCTTACTTCTGTCCTTTCTTCCGTCCTTCTTCTTTCCTCGCGTCCTTCGCTTCTTTCTTTCTTTCCTTCCTTCCTTGCCTTCCTTCTTCCCTGCAGTCCTACCTTTCGTCCATTCTTTCCTTCTTTCCACCCGCCCTCACTTTTGTCCATCCATCCTCCTCATTCTTTCTTTCCTTACGCCCTTCCTTTCTTCTGTTCTTTGTTCCTTCTTTCCCTCTATCCTTCTGCACATTCTTTCTTCTTTCCTTTCTTCCATCTTTCCTACCTCCGTCCTTTTCTTCCAACCTTCCCTCCTTCGCCAATCATTCCATCTTTCTTTCGTACCTTCCTTCCTCTCTTCCTTCTGTCCTTTCCTTTCTTCCGACTTTCCTTTCTTCTGTCCTTCCTCCCGTCCTTCCATCCTTTTGTCCTTTCTTCCATCCTTCTTCCCTTCCTTCCGTTCTTTCTTTTTCCTTCTTTCCTTCCTTATGACCTTACTTCCTTCTGTCCTTCTTTCCGCTCTTCCTCCCGCCCTTCCTTACGTCTGTTCTTTCTTTCGTCCGCATCTTTCCTCTTTCCTTCCTTCCGTCCTTCCTTTCTTCCTTTTTGCATTCCTTCCCCCCCCCTTCCTACTGCCTTTCTAACTTCCGGTTATTTTTCCTTCCTTCCGTCTGACAGAACTACATCCATCCTCCTGTCCTCACCCTTTCCCTCTTTCCGTCGTTCCTTCCTTCTGTCCTTTGTTCATTCTTTCCTCCCTTCCTTCTGTTTTTTTTCTTCCTTCCTTCTTTCCTTTTTCCTACCTCCGTCCTTCATTCCATCTTTCTTTCTTACCTTCTTTCCTTCCGTCCTTCCTTTCCTCTTTTCTTTCTTCCTTCTGCCCGTCCTTCCTTCCGTGGGTCCTTGCTTTCTTCTATCTTTCCTTCCTTCATTCCTTCCGCCCTTCCCTCCTCCAGTGCCATGTGTGATGCTCGCTTGGGCGATCATTTCACTTTTCGATTGACTCTATCGCTGTTTCTATTGTAAACTAATGATGATCAAGTATAAATTATTAAGATAAATATCGGAGAAAAACAAAATTGACAGCAAATATTGACGTATTCGCAAGAGATTTGGGTTCAGCCATGAAGTTCCCTGAATTTGTTGTTTTTTGCGGCCATCAAACTTTGTCATGTAACGTATAGACGCAAATATATTCATGTGAGTTTAAAAAAAAACAGACAGCATGTAATGAAAATATATTTACAATAACCCCCAAATTTCAGAAATACGTTCCAACATTTGCGTTGTTTACACCACAAAGGATCAAAATATTCCTTCAATTTCTATTGTTTTCCTGTGCAAACGAGTTCCCCTTATGTGGACTGCTTCAACTGAAGACTTATATACTTCAGACATAGCAAATATGCAGAGGATCCATAAGACATCTATTAAAAAGTTCTATTTTATATGGGTAAAGGATACTGTACTGTGATGTTATCTTTCAAATGAAATACGGAAGCACTTATTGCTTATTGATACGTAACCTAGAAAGTCGGCCTATCATTATGTTGAAATGCCTCTGTAATCTCTACGGTGTTTGGAAGATACGAACAATGTTGTCTCTCGAAATGAATCGTTGGGCTTTTGGCAAACCATCTCGAGGTCAAATACACGTTTTCAATTGCCACAGGTGTTTCAAGACTGGCTGAGTGTTGGTTCAAGATTATGAATGAGATTTCGGAAAAATGGGGACACAGACATGAGGACGTTTTGTATGTGCGTGCATGCGTGCGTGTGTGGGCATATTTGGCGTGCACGCCCACGCGTATGTGTGTAAAGGTATATTCTGTCTCTCGGTGACTTTCAAGTTACAAGCAAAATCGTATTCACATCAAATATTAATTTTGATTTAATAAAAACAAGGGAAATCAAAAATAAAACGTTGATTTATTTTTACAGGAACTACAAGTGTGTATAATTCTTCTTCCAGGCGTTAAGATTCAAAGTTGTTCCAAAAATTTCAAATGAAGGCGGGACATAAACAAATAATTTTATAAAGAGAATCACTTGCATTATTTTAACTCTCCAAGTTTTTTGGTTAACCACAGCTGTAGCTTGGTATTGAACTCACAACTCTTTGGGTCTAGTTACGGGATCTAAGCAACGCCTTTATCCTCTAGCATACCACGACCGAAACGTTGTGAATATAACAATGATGATGAGGATAACAGTTCGAATAATGTAAATAATGAAAGTAATCATAATATCTCATCACAGAGATATAGGCAGCCATTATATCACTAGAAGCTTGTCACTGGATCTAACCAACGTCTTTATCCACTGGGCCATGTGTCCTTGTGAATATGGCAATGAAGATGTGGATAACAGCCCGAATAATGTAAATAATGCAAGTAATCATAATACCTCATCTCAGAGATATTGACAGATAAAGAGAATCACAAAAGTATGTACAACATTACATGCAACGAATACGCTTGACCTTTCAATTGATGCTGTAAAGAATAAAGTGCGTAAAATCATTTTCACCAGATTTTGGTTGTAGTTAATTTTAATTAACTGTTCAGACTTTGAAACATATTTTAACGAAAGTAGGAATCTTAACCCATATTTTCGTTAAATTTCAAAGTCTGAACAGTTAATTAAAATTAACTACAACCAAAATCTGGTGAAAATAATTTTACGCACTTTATTTATTTCCAGTATGTTAGTTATTTCGCATAGACTTAATTGCCATCAAACATCATTTTGTCTCGTGTTGTATGGTGTATCGTTCAACAAATAATCTCCAGCAGAAAAGTTTGCAGACCATTTCTAACAAGTTATCCATGAAATGCAAAAATCTTCCATTTTTACATGAATCTTCCATTTTTCAATTACAAACCTAAAACTGTTACTTATTTCTTTCCTCTATAATGTTACATTCTTTCAATCTATAATGTTACATTCTTTCAATCTATAATGTTAGCGTATTTCCTTCTATAATGTTTGATGTAATAAATTATACACGATTTTTGGGAAACTTTTAAAATGCATACTGATATGAAATTTGTGAAAAAAACAATGTAAAGTGATATTTTTAATTAAAGTAATTAAGACTAAAAGCTCCTAATGGTATCTAATTACAATAAGAGAAATAACTTTCTTGTCAACTCAATAAAAATATCGTATCATTTGGTTTGTCTGTATAATTAAAGTAGCCGAAAATTAGAAAATGTGTAACTCTCATATTCACCTGTCATCAATCATTGATGTTCAAGTCTAAATATCAGTCAATATTTTGAATACGGGTTTTTAAGCATGTCTGGTCTTCCTTACTTGCCATATACAAGTTTGCTATTCGCGATTCTCCCAATTTTAGTCTTGATACAAAGCTAGGCTTAAATGGTAACTGAGGTATATTTGCCTCTCTGACATCACCAGCAGCCGATATCTGAAATTAAAAGTCATATTTTCGAATCTATTCCATTTTTAAGAGTCATAAACAGCCTTTCCGACTGAACATTTCACACTATATAGCATGCGCCAGACAATTCTGATATCCAAAATAGACAGTCCTTCTTATCCAGATTCTTGGTGCAGTACAATGTTTGCCTATTAATTTTAGCCATGTGCCGGTCATAGCTAAAATTACTGAATATCTTTAGTATACTTTCTTTAAAATTTGCACTTCCATCTAAAACCTACCAATTAAGAAAATTCAATTTACCAATTTCCATTACAGTCTAACAGGAATTGGCGAATCGCGTTAAAGAAAAGCAAATTGATACAGATCTTTGTTTAATCAAAAATTGTTCAACAGAAAGGAAATTAAAGGAAAACATATTTGACGAATCAGGTTCAAATTCACGTAGCATCATTTGGTAAGAACGCATGCATTTGAACCTTTCCTTTTTTTTTTTCACGAACACTGATTTTTAAATTTGTTTTATCAGTAACACAATTCAGTGATGGCGGGAGAAGTCAAAGAAAAAAAAAGCTCTAGAAAAGAGGCATCGATAGAAAGAATGAGAGAGAAAGAAACAAAGTAAATTCCCATTCTGAAATATATATGGGCCAAAAATATGGAATGGTGTCATATTCCAGGCAGAGTAGCCGCTTTTTTACGTTGTCATTATTAAGAATTAGAAAACATTCATACATGGCCTCATTTTTTAACGGTGTACATAAAATAGCTTCTATATATGTTTGCGTGCATCTGTGTGTACCTGTGTGCGCGTGTGACAAATGCAACGTGTATCCGTATCTATCTAGCTGTCTATCTCCCCTCTCTTATATATATATATATATATGTGTGTGTGTGTGTGTGTGTGTGTGTGTGTGTTTATTGATTTATGAACCAGGCTGAAATGAATTCTTGCATCAAATTTCTTGTGAACAGACATTTATCTGGGAACGGTGTTTTGGTATCGATAACAAGACATTAATTTATTGATAAACAATAGTCATTCAATCCTTCTTTTCTTCTTCTTCTTCATTTTGTCCATTGATTTCCACCATGAGAAACTTTTGAAATATAACGTTCAACAATGCCAATGTGTACGTGTCCGCGGACGGAGAAAGAGTCAAGTTTAAAAAGGCGCAAAGCACAAGTTGTCTGCTGACAATCTATCGCCGTATGATGAAATGGTTTCGATTTCAACTCCTGGTGTCGACTACGTGTATGGATTTTGTATTATTATTGAATAACGCCTAACTACATTCACCAAAACCTTTCTCATTTTTATATCACCCGAGAGAAGCAATTACTGGAAATGTGTATCGATAAACTGATTAAGTAAAAATAGTTCGATTGATTGATAGCATTTACTCAGGTACTGCGTCTCTTTGGTTGTGGAATTTCTCGATTAATCGTTTATGTCGTCAGCTGGAATTTTCCACTTAATCGGATACAATTACTACTATTTGCTAATAGAGATTCTAGTATGCCTATTTTCGCAAAGTCTGTCTATGTCTGGCACAAAGTCAAAAGAATGGAACCCTCAGTGAAACTAACAAAGTCATTTTCTAGTCATTACATTCTGTCCCATATCTTATGCATATAATCCCTAATTTCAGCTTAGTCTAACACCAGGCCTGAATAAAGAGTATTCCATGGAAATTTACCTGTGTGAATATTTTGCGAAACCAATCTCTAAAAGTTTTAAATATTGCTTATGATTAATTTACCACTATTCCTCTTTAAGGAAACTAATTATTGAAGAAACTAAACTAGCTTGATGAGGGACTAAAAAAAAAACTAAAAATAGTTTCAATGTAATAAAGTTATTGATATGGATTTTATAAGTGAATGAACTTTTTCTTCAAAGTATGGTTGCCATTTTCCCAACTTGGTAAATTATTAGTTAAGAGAGGAATTGTTGCTTTTCCTGTTGTCAGATTCTAGTTAACTGTGGTCAATTCCTCAGTAAAGTCCCCAACGCTGTATCACAGACTGAATCAACAAAACATTTCTTCCGGTGTTTTTGAGTCGGTGTTACATAATGGATGTGATAGCAGGCATCGTTTTTTGAAAGAAGAAAGAAAAAGAAGGAGATAGAAAGAACAGGTGAGGTAACAACGAATTATCTCTATGCACCGGTTTGTCTCTCTGCCTAAACCACACCGCGCAAAAGAATCTAAGAGAAAGACTCGGACGAAAGTT